AGAGCCCTCTCCCCCAGCTCAGTGTCCAGGCAGGGCACCTCTGGGTACCACCGAGGTTGCCCACCCTGATCTTAGGTAAAGGGTCTCTTCCAACATCTCGAAGCCCCCTCTAGCTATTTCTAACTTGCTGTGGCAACTCTTCTTTTTCATAATTGGCTCTGCAGTTTCTATTCATTAGGGGTTATTTTGAGCCCAGTTTGATAGCATATTTTAAAACACTATACACACAGTGGGCTTGCCCTCTCCTATCTACTCACCTCCCTTTGAATTTTCTTCCCTCTTCTGGCATTGATCCTTGGAATGCCTTTGTAGCATTCCAGCTCTTTTGCTACATTAAGCTAGAATATATAAGCTTCTCTCAGGCAAGGGCCAGGTGCACTGTTACTATGATGGTAGTAACACCTCACTTTTGCAGTGAGCTTTTACTGCCATAGCCTTGTCCTGTTCCACTTGCTTCCTTTCTCCCCTCACACTTCCACACCAGTGTCCCTGCAGGAGTAGACGCTGGAGATGGGTGATCAGGGACACTTCTGGCCTGGCGAAAGTGGAACCAAGGACAGCTGTTGTCATCTAAGAACACTTTCTCCCCTCTTTGCCCATTTCAGCCTTTTCAGGCCAGAGGTCCCAGAGGGCAGCCCAAGCGTAACCCATTGCAAACAAATGAGACCCCCTTGCTGTTTAGGAAGCTTGTCAGGTGAGCATTCCACAACTTCCCCCAAGGCCTCCCCAGCACTGAATGACTCTCACTCAGCGGGAAATGAAGGCTTCCTCTCCCACCCCTCCCTTTTTAACTCTTAATTCCATTCTCGGATTCTATGATTAAATTTTAAATTTCTGAATAGTAATCCCCTGTTTAACTTCAATAGGGGAAATAGACTCCTGGAAACCAAACAAGAACTGTTTTAATGAAAATAAGTGGCGGGATGAAATATTGCTATGGAACACACTCCTTCCCCTGCCACCCTGCCGCAAAGGGTCAGGGCTATCTGGAGATTGTGTGTATGTGTGTGTGGGGGGGGGGGGGAGGGGGTGGTAAAGGGGAGAATGGAGGGGGGAGGGGAGACTGGTGGGGGTGGCACAACTAACACGCCAAGTCTGGGTGAATCCTAGCAGCAAATTCATTTAGTGGGACCTTTAACATTTCCATTCTCAACTTTAAATAATAAGGCGATTTTACTGATTTCAGCAGAAAAACCCATTAGGAGTGTGAGGGTAAAGACCCTTATGAGCTTTTCGGTGGCAATGCCTACAGACACAGGCGTGTAATCAAGAGACAGTAAGGGCTGGCCGCTGTGACCAGAGCCCCTGAGGGTCCCTGTGAGGTGGCTAAGGAAACCCGTGGCGGACTCACCTCTTTGGGGAGGGTGTGTGTCAAAATTGCTGAAGAGTGAGCCTTCCCTGCCCGTACACTAAGCAAACCGAGAACAATCGACTGGGCAAGTGCCTTACCTGTATAGGAGGTTACTCACTCTGACATATAAATATCTTTCACCATAAAAGCGTCATCAGATTCCAGAGTCATGAATTGACACATTGTGCTGGTCTGCCGCAGGTGCTTCCCTTCTTTACTGAGAAACCTATTTTATCCTTTGGGACCCAGGGCTCTCCAAGGGTGTGGTGGTTATGACCAACTGTCTGGAGCCATTCATGTATGCTCATTTTCTGCTACAAAAATGGCTATCTTGGGCTGACTCTCATGACACAGGTGACTGCCCACCGCCGACAGGCTATCCACGTTAGTTAGTCCCCATTCTGCTTGCCCTGCCTGAACAGTCTCATTTATTCTTTCTATTTCAACTATTAACCACTGTTATTTCCAGGACTGTAAGATGCACCATTAATTTAATAACACCTAGCAGTGGGAAGGTGAAGGGAGAATCCCTGTCATATTAAATAGACAACATCTATTGTCAGCTCATCCCTACACCTCACAGCTAAAGACCAATGATCCTTCAGGACTCATGTCAGTCATCTCCTCTGAGAAGCTCTTTGTTCGTTTTTTTTGCTAATCCTCACCCGAGGATATTTTTTCTATTGATTTTTAGAAAGAGAAACATCAATGCGAGAGAGAGACACCAATCAGTTGCCTTCCTGCATGTGTCCTGACCAGGGCTGGGGATTGCACCTGCAACCCAGGTACTACATGCCCAGGACCTGGAATCAAACCCACAACCCTTCGGTGTGTGGGATGACGTTCTAACCTCTGAGCAACATTGGCCAGGGCTCTGAGAAGCTCTTTTGCCAACCTTTCCTAGGACTGACCTCTCTCTGGTATCACAACTGCACCTTGCACATGCTGGCATAGTCAGGGTCTAGCCCAGTGCTTGGCATGAATTCACTCTATAGATTTTGATTGAAGACCTACCATGTGCCAGGCGCACTCCTGGACTTGGCACCTGTTTGTTAAACAAAAGAGTTTTTAGCAAACGCTGACTCGGCAGTGATACAAAATGAGGATGTGACTGTTTCTCTGTCCATTCCATTATTAGGCAGAGATGGGAGCAGTAAGTATGTTATGCTGCCTCAGTCAGCCCAGGCTGCTGTAACAAATATCACTGACTGGGTAGCTTAGGCAAAAACATTTCGTTCTCACAGTTCTGGAGGCTGGGAAGTGCAAGGTCAAGGTGCCCAAAGATTCTGTTCCTGGTGAACAGAATTGTAATCTTCCATGCTGTGTCCTTTCATGGCAGGGCAGAGATCATCTCTCTGATGTCTTCTTATAAGGACATCAGTCCCATTCCTGAGGGCTCCATCCTCAGGACCTAATTATCGCCCCCTCTCCCGCCCAAGGCAGGATAGTAAGAAGCTAGGAAAATTCCTTGGCAAGTGGAATTAGGCAACTGAGACAGACAGCTGAACAAACTGGCCAAGCAATTTACAGCCAGATACAGAAGGCCATCAGGGTGGAGAGCCCTGGGTGCCTAGTAATGGGCAAAACTGGCACTGGACCTCGCTCCCAGGATGGCCTGTACTCCCCTGGCATTTCTCTGGTCATGCAGTTTACACCCCCTGACCTTCCATATCACTGGTCATGCAATTTAGATCCCCCCCTGACCTGTTCCTCCCTGGAGATATCGTCTAGGCCTCAGTTGTATTTCAGCTTCAGGCCCAGAAAAGCAGCAAAGCCAGGCAGGTGATGACAGGATCCTCTGCAATGACTAATCAGTGGAGACCAAAACCCTGAAAGGACACACCTGGAAAAGCTGATGAATATTCTATTGAGATCCTCCACTAAGACCTCCCCTTTAAAACACTCAAAAAAAAAAAACAAAAAAAAACGAAGAACCCAATGAGTGTTCCCTTTCCTGGAAGCATGCCTGCATCTTTCCCTCCCCCCTTCTTCCCCCACAGGCCTGCATCTTCTAAACTCTAAGGACCCCAAAATACTTGCAACCAGGGGAGCAAAGGGCAGCAGCAGCTCGTCCTGGGCTAAACCCCGAATCTGTCTCCTTCTCGGACTCTCCCGGGAGCTGGCGGCAGCTCCGCCTCGGCTCACTTTTCTCCCATGGATTCTAGGGGCCTCGGCAGCCACGCCCCGTCTCTTTCCTGTCGCTTCTTCGCTCCCAAGCCCTTTGTCTCACTGCCCCAGCTTTAGTACACGTACTCTCCAAATCACCTGGACTCGTGTTGTGAAATCTTTCCTGCACAAAGCGAAGAACCCACACACGGCAGGCCAGCCAGAGGCAGACCTGCTCAGGGCCCTGTCCCCTTTCCCGTAACATTCCCAGAGAAATTCTAGAGGATTCCATGGGATGGGAAGTGGGAAAAGAATGGCAGGATGAGTGAACAGCATGAAGAAAGGCTTGGTGGCAAGAATGAATTAAAAAATTTTAAATTGATGTTAGAACATAGATAACATATCATTTTAACCATTTTTAGGTGTACAGTCCGGTGGCGTTTAGTACATTCTCATTGCTGTGAGTTTTTAATTGTTGGATTTGTAAGGGTCTCTTTCAGAAGGGTTGATACCTGGCTGGTCACACATTTGTTAGTGGAAATAATGATGCATCAGAGGAAAAGCAATTTTCCCCACTAACATATGTGATTTGTTTTGCATATATTAATGAGAGGCTGTGGTTTGGGGGGACAGGGGGCACCAGGGCTGCTTCCAATATGGTTTGAATCATCTTTGTGAAGTTTTAAACAATGGACACTAATCCCCTCCCCCCATACTGGGCCTTTTGTATTCAAATCAAAAGCACAAAACCCTATTGTGGGGGGGAAAAGTGTCTTTATTGGCAACCAGTCCCTTCTACTTAGAGCACTAAATGTAGCCTCACGAGTACATTCCCTACAAGTACTGTAGCTATTAATCACATGGGTGTTTTCTTTTTTGGTTTGGTTTTGTAATAGGTGTATTCGTGGCAAGTGTTCTAATCAGCACTATGGGCACCCGGAGATGGAAGAGGGTGGGCTAGGGAAGGCGAGGCCCACCCAGCCACAGGGCAGGAGCAGAGGCCTGAGATCTGGGGTCCGGCCTTGCCACTTCGCTGCGAATCCCCGGGCAAGTCACCTGAACACGTAAGGCCTGGGTCCCATGCAGAGGTCGGATCCAGGGCCTTTCAAGTCCTCCCATCTCCGTGGTCCTCCCTGAATAATTTTTAGCAGGGGCCCATCTGCTCATTGGTGGGGCACTCAGCTTGGGCCCGGCGGGTGAACGTGCGCGCAGTTAGCCGAAGGGACAGCAGACAAGCGTCCACGGTGGCGGGACGCAGGGCGTCCCGGAAAGGCGCTCAAGTGATGGGATTTCCAGACCAGACTTTGCCCCGCCAACTTTTAAAGGTCGGAGGAAAGTTTGTCGTGGGCGGGGGCCCGAGAGGAGGGCCGGGTGGGCTCCGCCGCCGCCTCCCCTTTAAGCGGGCGGCCCGCGCTCCCTCCGTTACCTGGCGCGGGGAGGGGCTTGGGAAAGTTTGTGTTTGTTGCTGGCAAAGCGCCCGATGGGAGGCGCGGGCGGGCGCTGCGGTTCTTCCCTTTTGCTTTCGGGAAGCGGCCAGGGCAGCAGGCTCGGCGCGGCGGGGCGGCCAGGCGCCCGGCTCCCGGCTCCCGGTGCCCGCGGGCCGCAGGAGGCGGAGGAAGGTGGGCGGGGGGCGGGCGCGAGGGGCGCACGCACGCCCGGCGCTGGGAGTGCGCGGCTGGCGCGGGGAGCGGAGCAGGCGCGCGGCCCAGGCGGAGGAGCGCTGACTCTGGAGCAGCCGGAGCTGGAGGAGGAGGAGAGGCGGCGGGGAAGGAGGCGGCGGCGGAGAGACGCTCCCGCCGGGCGAGCATGGGGCGCCCGGCGCCCAGGCCGCTGCTGCTGGCGCTCCTGTGGCTGGGTGAGTGCGCGCGGGGCTTGGCTCGGCGGGGCGCGGGGGGACCTGCGGGCCCCAGGGCGGGGGTGGGGAGGGGGGCTCATCGGGGCGCGGCTGGGGCGCGCGGCCTGGGGCCCCGAGGGTGCCGGGGCCGCTCTCGGGAGACCCGACGGGATAGGCGGGCGGCGCTGCCCGGCGGGGAAGCGCGCGGGGCCCCCGGAGCCAGGCGCGAATCCGCCCCGGCCACGCGCGGGATGTCAATCCCCGCTCCGCTAGGCCGAGCCTCGCCCCCCACACGTGCGCGGGGAGTGGCCCGTGACCGGCTGCCCCCGGCCCTCCCTACCTGTTGGCCGCCGGGAGCCCGACTCACCTTGAACTCCCGGGCCGGAAGGTGCCTGCGGTCCCCGGCCGGGATCCCCAGCCCCGGAGCGGAAATATGCGCCTTTGATCTGCCCCGCCATCTCCGAGCCCGGCTCACCCGCTCCTCACATGCAAACCCAGGTTGAGTTGCCTTTCGAGGGAAGCGGGAGAACCCACCAACTTCCTTCTACGAAGGTCACTGGGTGGCCCAGGGCGCTGCCGTGAAAATGGGTGTGCGAGCCCTTCCGTCCTGTTCTCCGTGGGAGAGCGTCTGCCTCAGGCTTTTCTTTTATTCTGGAAGCTGCCTACCTCCATATTCACACACAAAGACCTAGCAGCCGTGGCTTGGCCAACTTTTCCTACCTGTTACTTTTGCTCCCTTCACTGCCTCCTGCCTTCCACCCTCCCCGAACCTCGGCGCCTCTTGGTAATTTGGCCGGCACCCTCACCCCACCCAAGGAATTTTGGGTGGGTGTTTTTTTTCCTCTCTGTTTTCCTTTTATTCTATGCACACAGACACCATCTTCACGTAGATACGCCTGGTTATCCGAAATGGTTACGTTGCCATAACCATGTGGTTACCCACCACGGAGGTACATCTGCTTATTACCCGCTCACCATGGTACCCAGGGCTGACCCTGAAATGCCGGGATATTCTTGGATCCTTTGGGTCTGTGTCAACCAGAACAGAATGAATCCCGAGACCTGACCACGGGTTTCCTTCCAAGCCCCTTGAGAAGGCAGAGCGGTCAGAATCTTGCAGAGTGCTGCCTGTGGTGTCTGTCCCAGCCGGGCCCCAGCTGTGCACGCGCTAAATGACTGCTCTGCACTTATGGTCGGAGGGTCCCAGTGGAGGCCTTGCACAGCCACTCCCGGCCTGCTGGCCTCAGGGCTCACACGGCCCCACACCCGTGACTCCCGCTCCTGGGGGGCCAGCCTTTCTAGCTGCCATGTTTTCTTCCTTCGCCTTGGAGAGGGTCTTCTGGAACTCACTCCCAAAGAGAGCTGACCCAGCCTCCTCGCGTTGGCTGCCACTGTGTATAGAAAGCTTCCAGATCGCTCACTTATTTTGTGGCATGTCTTTTATGGTCTGGGATCCTAGAGTTTCTATTCTTCCACTTTCACTCTCTGACCCATGTAAGCTGTACGGGTGTGGTACACTGCTGGTGGCCAATGGTTGCACAGACTGTGCACTGCTCAACTCTAGAAGTTGCGTGCACTTTATAGTCTGTGTGAGAATGACTCCCCCTAGAGTTGTACAGGTCACACCACAGCCTGTATACCAATGAAGGTGTTGGGGTCTGGTAGGAGCTTGAAAAAAAATGCCCTTGAGTAACTGAAAAGAAGTCGGGCCAAAGAGAGACTAGAAGTGGGGAGAGCACAGCTTGGGGAAGTCTTGGTTGTATACCAATGTCTCCTGCCCTGCCTGGGCATCTCTCATTAACCACACACAGGGAATGTGGTATCACCAGCCAGTGCCTTCTCTCCTAAAACTTCCCCAAACTTGAACCTGATAACTCTGCCCCCCACACTCTCCCTCGGTTGGCTTCCGGCTGACCTCTGGGATGCCTTCCCTGTTGTACCACTCGAGCAAAATATCCTGATTCCTGAAACTTAATATGTTGATAAGCAAGATCATCTTTCCTCTTGTATTGCAACCCGGGCATAACCTTGCTGTCGCTTTCTTTGACCTCCACGTTCTCACCGACCCTCAGTTCTGTGGCTTTGCCCACATCGCGCCCTCCAGCTCCGTCCTGTCGCCCCTGCTTGTACAGCTACTCTGGTAGCCCAGGTCCTGGCGCTTCTCCACACCATTGGCTGGGTTGGCTTTTCCCTCCAGCTTCCCTTCTAAGTTCATTATTTTCCTAAAGGATGAGTTTAGGGAGGCCCATCCTTTGCATGTAGGTTCTTTCTGACTTTCTTACAAGGATTTGCTTCCCTTTGTGTTCACCCCCCCCCCCCTGGTCTTCTCTCTGATTCGCACACTTCATCCTAAGGAACCTGTTTGCTATCCTTGACGTGGTCTATCCGTGAGCCTTCTGGCTCTGTCGTTTCCCTTGGCCTTGGAATGCCCCTCCTGCTTCTCTACTCTGGCCTGTGTTTTTCCTTTTCCTCCTAAAACTCAGCTTCCTCCATGAAGCTTCCCTAACGAACTTAACCATCACATCAGCATCCACACAGCTTCATGGAGCAAGTTTTCCCTCCTGGTCCCTGTGTCTGACCCATCTTGGTTATCCATTCAATACAGCATTTCTCGAAGGTCCATTAGAGTCCGTAAGTGTCCGGACAGATGCCTCATTGAGTGATCGGGGGTGGGGGGGGTGGGGGGGGGGTGGACGGGTACTAAAACAGCCAGCTACAGGACAGAAGGAAATACCTACATAGAAACCAAGTGCTGGTCGGAAGCAAGGAAGAGATGATTCCTTTGACGTGGGATTGGAGTTGATTTTGCTAAAGAGGTGGTGTTGGAGCTGAGCCTTGAGGACAATAAGAATTTTGAAAGAAAGGATGGAAGAGCATTCCAGGCTCTGGGGAAAGGCATACCATGTGTGGACGAGTGAAGGTGCGTGGCTCTTCAGGGATGGCTGGAAGGAAGGTCCGTGTAACTGGAGGGGGAGGAGGGGATATAATGGGAGAGCAAGCTGGAAAGCTGGGATGGGGTGGGTGCTGAGGGCTTCTTGTGCTGTGCTGAGAAGTCTGGACCATGCGGGGTGGGTTTGTTGGCCCTGTGAGTGCTGCCATCTTCCCTCCTGTTTAGCTCACTGTACACAGTTCTCTGTGCCTGGCTGCAATCCCCACTCTGATTATACCCCTTGTGGGCAGGGACCATGCTGGTCTTGTCTTATTCACTATTGTATCCCTGTTACTAATAGGGCGCCTGGCACATAGTAGGTATTTGATATACCGTGGCTCTGGGTACATGTATATATCCTTTTATCTGTGGGTAATGGGTAGCCATTGAAAGTTCACAGGACATGGCAATCTGATTGAGGAGGGTAAGTCTTCTCTAGTATGCAGCATGAATTAGAGCAGGGAAGGTATGGAGGTTGTGGAGGGAAGGTAATATGTTTTTAATTTGTCTTTTAAAAAACATTTGCAAATCCACTGAAGTAGTTTTTAAATGACAAAAGCATTGCATCTACATTTTAAAATTCACATAACATAGAAGGGCATTAACTAGGCAGGCCAGGTTGCTCTCACAAGTAGACTCAAAGCACAGAACTTCAGACAGTAGAAGTGTCTTTCTTAGCAGGCCCGAGGGGATGTTTCAGATAAAAAGGTTGGGTTGGATCCCTTCTCCACACAGCCATTCTGGCTACCAGGCTGATGGCAGTTCATGGTCTTCAACCCATAGTTTCTTTTTTTTAAAGAATATTTTTATTGATTTCAGAGAGGAAAGGAGAGGGATAGAGAGATAGGAACATCCATGATGAGAGAGAATCATTGATTGGCTGCCTCCTGCACGTGCCCTACTGGGGATTGAGCCCTCAATTCGGGCATGTGCCCTTGGCCGGAATCAGCCTGGGACCCTTTAGTCCGCAGGCTGATGCTCTATCCACTGAGCCAAACCAGGTAGGGCAACGGTAGTTTCTAAGGTTCCTTTGGTTGTCATCACCGTCTTTCCAGCCCCTTAAAGGGGAAAAGGGCATGGAGGAGTCCATGGAGGCCTCACGGCCAAGCTTGGAAGTGTGGCACCCATCATTTCTGCACACATTCCGTTCCATGGAATTCAGTAGCTGCAAGGGAAGCTGGCACATGCAGAGTCGCCTGGCAGCCATGTGCCAGCTACTATGGAAGACAAGAAGAACAGATTTGGGAGAACAGCGAGCAGTCTCTGTGTCAGTTATAAAAGATATAAGATAAAAAAAGCACCCACCCTCCCACTGCCCAGGCATAGCACTCCTGTGTACGGTACCTGTGTCCATGTAGTGAATATTCTGCTTGTTCTTTCTCAGAGCTTCTGTACAGGGCTCTGCACCTATACAGGCACAGAGTGAAAATAGCAGCTACTGACCTAGTGCATGCAGACAAGCATCAGGCTCTTACATATTATTTTCTTATTTAATCCTCGCAACAACACTTGGAGGGAGGTACCGTTATTTCCTCCGTATTCCAGGTGAGGAAACTGGTGCCCAGAGAAGCGAAGGCACTTGTCCGGAGTCATTCCGGGACTCCATTCTGACTCTGCTAAGGAGAAGTTGGCTTATGGGCCCCATCACCTGATGCTGTATACTTCTTGAGGTTAGTTTAGGGGAAAAGGGGTGATAGTGGTGTTTGAAAGCAAACGTGTGGTTAAAAATAACAGGGTCTGGGGTGAGCGCAGCCCAGACACAATTCCTGCAACCCCATGGCAGGTCCCCACACCTTCTCCGCGGACAGGGACCGAAATGCAGCTTTCTCCAGAAAGCGCCGAAGCAGGAAGCCTGGCAGGAGGAGCTCCCGTGCATTCATCCCGCCTGGCCGTCTTTGAAGTGCTGTGGCCTTCAGAGATTCCTTGGCACTCATTTCAGCCTTGTTAACAGAATTCCTGTATCTGCCAAGCTGATGAATGCCTGCCCTGGCTGTAATTATTCTTATTAGCCTGCTGAATAGGAACTCTGGGTGTCAGTGTTCATTCCTTACAGGGCAGTCGGGCTGGTCCGCGTGTATATGGCTATTCTGTT